ATATATTATAAAATTTAACTCTTGTACCTTGCTTGTGTCACAAAGTCAGAGAATTTTATTTGAAAGTGATATAAAAATGAAAACCCATGAACACTTCAAATAGTGTCTATGTTGACAAGGATAATAAGAAAAAGAGAACATTTTAATATAATTAATACTGGTAACACCCAAAAATTTTGTATTTAGTATAAATAATGACAGATAGGTCAATGTAGTAATTACTTTTGGAACATACTATAATATCAAGTACTGAACCTAATCCTTAATCTATGAAATAATAACTGTATTTATCAAATGAAGAAACTAAGGATAAACCAAACATATAGTATTAAAATGAAACCTAAGATTTGTTTAAGCATTAAAATAATAAGAATAGGGCCAGACCTATAGCTCATTGGACTAAAGCGCTTGCTTAGGCAAAGTGCAGAGGCCAGTTTCAATCCTCAGGCCTGCCCTGCCCCTGGGGCATGCTGAGACAGGGCGTGGTAGTGCATGCCTATAATCCAAGCACTTAGGAAGCTGCAAACAGGAAAATCACTAGGCGTCCGATCTATGTGGTGAGACCCTGAACACCCTGTAGACTCTGCCCTAAATACAGAAAAAAAATCATAAGATTAAAAATCATAAGATTAAAACAAGACATAAGACAAGACAGTGGAGAAAATAATGATAAGGTAACTCTATGTGCAAGTTAGAAAACACACAAAACTATGAAGTTCGAACAAAACAACTCTTTTACCCATAGGCTGTAGTTGGTTCATTTAAAATATAATTTTGCTCTTTCAACCCAATCTGCATTTGTGGGGCCAGGGAGATAACTCAGTAGAATAAGCACTTGCTTGGCAAGGTCCTGAGTTTAATCCCTGGTAGCAAAAACAAAACAAAACAAAACAAAACAACACCACATTTGTGATATCACTAGACAAAATGTTACAATAATGTTTTTGTTTTCCATTTATTTATCTTTACACTCCATTTTCTTATACATTTGTCAGTCCTTAATAAACTGTGTACTTCTATATGTTGAACATATTTATGATGAAATCACAGGAAATCATTACACATTTTTTGTGGAAGAACGAAAATGACAGAAATTTCTAGAAACAGGAAAAAGAGAAGAAGAACTAACATAGGAAGGCAAAGTGAAAAATAATCATTATAAGGAGACCTGGTGGTTAAAAGAGAAATATGTAGACCACCATCAGAATGATAATGGGTTGGACTGTGTACAAAATATGTCTGATTATCTAAACTTATTTAGAATTTACAATAAGTCATCAAAAATAACATGGTAGAACCCTGATGGGCTACAATTTGCCATAAGTGTTTCATACCACAATTTAGGCTGTCACTTTCTGTATTCAACAACATACCTAAAAAATGAAAACAAAAATAAATAAGCATTCCTGACAAGCATATTTAAATGTACATAATATTATAAGGTGTTTCTCTATAGAAAAGGTAAGTTCAATATATATTAGATGTTATGGCTTTTGATTACTTATAAACAAAATTTTTTTCACACGTTCATAAATCTGCTTGGTTCTAACTCCATAGATGACAGGATTAAGCATCGGTGGGACTACAACATAAAGATTGGCCAGGAGGATATGGATGTAGCGGGGGACATTTCTCCCAAAGCGATGTGTCATAAAGGAAAAGAGTGCTGGTGTATAGAAGGCAAGGATGACACACACATGAGACCCGCATGTGCTCAGGGACTTGAGTCGGGCTTCCTGAGACGGGAGTCTAAAGACGGTGCACAGTATCTGAACATAAGATAGAGCAATTGCTATAATGTCAAAAACCAAAATTGAAATAGCACCCAAGCCATAGATGATATTGATCTTGATACTGGCACAAGACAGACGAGCAAGACCCATGTGCTCACAGTAAGTGTGAGGGATGACATGATTCCCACAGAAGGGCAGTCGCAGTATGAGAAATACAAATGGGATAACAGAAATAAATGATCTAACTAACACACCAAGACCAATCCCAGAAACAACCCTGTTGGTGAGAATGGTGCTATAGCGAAGTGGGTTGCAGATGGCCACATAACGGTCATATGCCATCGCCAAGAGGACTGCTGATTCCATGCCAGTGAAGTTGTGGATGAAGAACATCTGGGTGAGACAAGCTTCAAAAATTATCTCCCTGAAGCTAAACCAGAAGATTCCAAGCATCTTTGGGATAGTAGCTGTTGAGAGACCCAAATCAATGGTAGCCAACATGGCCAGAAAGTAGAACATAGGCTGATGTAGGCTGCTCTCTGTCTTGATCACCATCAGGATAGTGAAGTTTCCCAGGAGAGCAATCATGTACACAGCGCAGAAGGGAAAGCCAATCCAGAGGTGAAGAGTTTCAAGTCCTGGAATACCCAGTAACAAGAAGGAGGAGGGGTGAAATGAGGTATCATTGGGAAGAATCATCCTGTTTGATAACACAAAAGCACATGCCCTTACAGATTAATATTCATCAATCTGTAGGGTATCAAGTAAAAGTCAGTGGAGATGGAATCCTAAAGAAAAAGAAGACTGTTATTCCATTGTACATATCTACTCTTAAATTCATTCATACAACTAAAAATGCATGTAAAGAACACTGTGAAAAAAGTACATTTAGAATGTCAAAGCTTGGGAAGAAGTTATGCTGTGAATTTTTAAAAAATGGTAGCATGGCAATAATCAAATGACTCTGGAAAACTAAGGAGGATTTCAAGTTAGACAAAGCCTAACATGGGCAATTTAGCAATTCGGTAAGACCTTATTTCAAAATAAAACAAAACATGCATGTATGCAGATGTAGATAAATGTGAAGACCCTGGGTTCAGGCTCCCGTACCACACCCACCCACACACATGCAGAGAGAGAGAGAGAGAGAGAGAGAGAGAGAGAGAGAGAGAGAGAGAGAGTTGTACATAATATATCAATCTTTGTTGGATCCTTTCTTCTCTACTAACTTTCAATAGTTTTATATTTGGCATCATGAATATCTTACCTCAATATCTACTCTAGTAGTTATGTACTCTGGTCACTACCAACACAATTTACTTTCAGTTTGCTACACACACGGATTAACCTGGCTACCCAGGGAATCATTTCTATTCAATATGCTTTGTTAGATGGTAGCACAAGTGTGATATACAAGAGAATATTAAGTAATTAATGAACAGAGTTTTTTTAAATGTATTCTATAGCATTAAAAGTTATCTAAATGATGAGAATTGAACCATTAGTTAATATTAATCTATAATTACTATAGTAAAATGATAGACACTTAGTGAGATACTGCCTACTATTTGAAATATAGTGTCAGAACCTGAAATAATACAGGTAATCTCAATAAACAACTGTAGGAGAATACTGGAGTTTATTTCATAAAGGAAATGGACCTCAGATACTTCGAAGGCTCATTGAATGGTTGAAGTACATATGTTGACAAAACAAGGGGAAAATAGGAAAAGAGAAAATGTCAGGAAAGGAATGGCAATAAGAAAGCTAAAAGCCATCTCTTATTCAAAACATAAATAAAAGCACACCCCATACACACATCTTCACATATCTCCTTAAAGTTTGCATCTAACTGCATAGAAATGTCAACACTGATGTAAAGGTATGGCCGTCATGATTTAACAATTTAAGAAGCAAGGAAAATAAATTGAAAAAGGTTGATAGATTCAAAGGCAATATATCCTGCATTTTAGATTACTAGAAGAAAAAAGCTTTACAATTTTCAAAGTTACCTAAATATGAATTTTCCTAAATATTTTCATGTACATCACTTATGAGAGTGGAAGGGGTATATTTTCAGAGCATTTAGTGTTTTATTGTCTATAGCTGTTTCATAGTAAAAGTTTTCTTTTGATCATTTGTGTCATTTGAGGAACAATAATGATTGAGAGAATAATTTCAATAAAACAATCAAACTATTATCTAGATATTATGTGCAAGAGGAACAAGACCCAAAGAAGGGGGGCCACATTACACAGGCAGTGAAGAAAACAGGGAACTCTGAAGAGAAAATAGTGAACACTTAAAAAGGAAAGAAAGACTAAAACAAAAGATGATATTTGTAAGAGACATTGTGGACTGTTCAAAGGAATAGGGTTTTTTTTTTTCTTCTATGATGTCTTATTTTTAGAAAAAAGAATAGTTAAAAAGTTGTGATACAGGTATCCTTGGAGCATTTGAGTGTAGGACACTTTCAGCCATGGAAAAATATTTGTGTAATATAAAATCATGATTATTACTATTTGGTTGATTTCAACCTAAAGTTCTGCAATACATAGAACCATGATTTCTGAGTTCAGTCTAATGTCTGCTTTATGGTTGTGGTCAAAAGGGTGTAATATAAATATTAACTGTTAGCTGTATCATATCCCATAACTATTTTAACATTTTTGTGCCCCATTTTCATCTATAATGATATACTGAAGATAAGTGTCTCTTTAATTTTTTGACCAACTTTGCAAGCTTATATCTGAATAACTAATTTGAAGACAGCAATATTCAATATAACAATCATTGTTGAGTTTCTATCAGGGTGTTTACTGAACTTCTGTATCATTTCTAATGTTCTTAAATAATTTTTTACGATCTTCAAAAATTAAACAAAAATTTTAAAAACTGAAAAAAATTGAAAAAGGTCATTAGAATAACCATACAATTATGTTAAGATACTTAAAACCATATTCCAAATATAGCATGTTTACACAATTTTTTAGATATCCACAGATTGATTTTTGTAAAATATCCATTCAATAGTTCAGGCTACAACCCAAGTGGTTTTTGTAGTTTTATCTGGAAATTTCAAGCCATAACTCTTATTCACTTTCTAAGCTTCATTCTTAGGCTTCTTTCTGAAAAGTTCTTGCTTGCACCTTTTCTCTGCTGCTGTGCCTCTAGCTCCTTGTCCTTCCCTGTGTCCTGCAGAAGCACCTCTAAAATCACAGTCAGGAAGGACTCACCAGACTGAACCCAGGACAGAATCCTGTCTCTTTTTCTCAACTCATCCTATTCACTTTTTATGGGGTTATTTCCATGGCCTGAGAGGCCTCAGGAATTGAAAATTCCCTAGAGATGATGTTGTAAAGCCCAGAACATCTCTGGGGAGTCTACAATATAATGTTGTCTTGACTCGCGGGTGGGGGGGGGGACCAAAAGCAAAATACCTACATTGCTCAGAAAATAAAGGGATTGTAGGTCAGCAAGACAGCAAAACAGAAGGACTCCGTCTTAATTGCCCCCAAACACTGATTTATTAACTATTCATGGAAAATAATTTTATGACTGCTCTGCCATTCAAAAGAGATGTTTCAGCACCTTGATGGAGCAGGAATGAGAAGACACATTGACAGTGGCAAAGAGAAAAGATTCATTTATGCATGTGAAGTGGGGAATCCTTCTGCTCACTGAAAAGAGAAATCACTGAGCCCCAGAGTCGTGTTCAGGGAAAGAAATGTGGAAGGTGTGTGCATTGGAGCACTCAGCCTTATAAAGTAATAAATTCTGTCATTTGTTACAATATATCTACACATGACTGATATTAAGATAAATTATCTTATCAGAGAAAGACAAAAAATGCATGATCTTACATATGTGCAAAATGCAAATGTTGACCATTTTTCCTATATTTACTCGTCATTTGTGTTTCTTCATCTTAGTAGTGGACATTCATCTCAGACGCCCATTTTTTGACTGGGTCTTTGAATTATGAAGACCTGAATTTTTATTTTTTATATGTTCCAGATAGAAGGACTTTCATAATGTCAGTTCTTCCCACCCAGGAGCAAGGAATATCTTTCCATTTTCCAAAATCTTCTTCAATCTCTTTTCTCAGAGTACTATAATATTCACTGTATAAATATTTTATTTTTTTGTGAGATTGATTCCTAAGTGTTTCATTTTTTGGGGATGTTATTGTGAAAGACTTGATTCCCATAATTTATTTTTGGTGCACTTTTTGTTTGTGTACCAAAATGCAACACTGAGATTCCATCTCACCACAGAAAAAATGGCTATCATCAAGAAGTCAGCCAATAACAAATGCAGGAATGGCTGTGGGGAAAAAGGAACCCCTATCCACTGTTGATGGGCATGCAGACTGTTACAACCACTATGGTAATTAGTGTGGAGATTTCTCAAAAAGCTAGGATTGGAAATCCCATTCAACCTAGCTATTCCCCTCCTGGGTATTTTCCCAAAAGAACTGAAAACATCGTGTCATAGCGCTATATGTGAACCGATGTTTACAGCAGCACAATTTGTCATAGCTAAATCCTGGAAACAACCGAGATGCCCATCAATTGAAGAATGAATAAAAATATAGTATTTTTATACAATGAAATATTATTCAGGTACAAAAAGGATAAATTTGAGGTTTTTATTGGTAAATGGATGCAACTAGAGATCATGCTTTTAAGTGAAATAAATCAAACTTGCATGTGCAAACATTTATTGTCTCCTTAGTATGAGAACCTGAAAGAGAAAATAAAATATGTAGGGTTCAGTGGATACTGGGCAAAGGGGATTAACCCATTCAAAAGGAAGAAATTACTGAGTTTAGAAGAAAGACAGGACTGGCAGTTGGAAGTTTGGAATATGGCTGTGTATGTAGACAGGATGGTTTGAACAATATTGGGGATTTCTGCTGGCCTATGAAAAACAGCAGTTAATCTTTAATTTGTCTTCTTTCTTCAATTCTTTTTCCTTTTTCTCTCCTCTTATTTTCTTATATATGTTTTTCTTTTCTCTTCTAAATTTTCATGCATACATCTGGTAATATGAGCAACTAATTTGAAGACAACACTATGCATATAACAAACACTGTGAAATTTATATTATTTTGTTTAGGGAAACTATATCATTTGTAATTTTTCTGCTATAATACTATTTTGTAGCTTTTGGATCTGATAAGGTCAGTGAAATTCCCTCAAGATTTATCCTGAGATCTTATACCTCAGATTGTAGATCCTTTGTCAGTGTCAGCCATGTGGATGAGTTACAGCCATTGCTTGGCCAATGTGCTCCCCATGAAAGCCTGAGAGAATGTTTTCTTTCCATGTGACTCTCCTTAGGCACACTCTACATCATCAATCACTTTCCTCTTTGGCCCCATAACCTCCTTGATCAGAAAATTTGGGACACTACTGAGTTACATGATATTACAGTACAAGATCTCATATGTCCTGAATATTAATTGACCTTGGAAGACTAGGGCCACAATGCTGGTTTTCCTTGCAGCCCTCCATTTTCTCTAATTTTGGTCTGCAAACTTAGGTTGTTAACCCTCCAGAAGAAAGCTTATTGTTATTACCATACAACCTACGCTGTTAAGCTTAACCTCACTACCTGTCTGAATATCAATCACTCTCTTTTAAAAATTAAAATAAGGTAAAATAAATAAAATAAAGGTTTAAGATGTTCAAATC